CGTCAATTATCCATTTATTGCCGCCGGCTTGGAAGGATTTCAAGAACTACCTTAAGCACAAGCGAAAGGAAATGAACTTGGAGCATTTGATCCTCCGTCTGCGCGTTGAAGAGGATAACCGGAAGAACGATGGGAAACTCCCAATCGTTACCAGCGCCAAGGCAAACGTGGTGGAGCATGCAAAGAGCTCCAAAACCAAAAATAATGGGAAGAGCAAGCTCGGTCCCAAGGGAGGCATTTCCAAGACAAAGTTCAACGGAAAATGCTTCAATTGAAATAAAAACGGACACAAGTCCTCGGATTGCAAGGCACCAAGGAAGAAGAAAGACTCTCAAGTCAACATGGTGCAAGGTGGGCAAAAGGATGAAGACATCATTCTTGCGGTCGTGGTGACCGAGGTCAACCTCGTTGGATCCAATTCCAAGGAGTGGTTCGTGGACACCGGTGCAACCCGGCATATTTGCTCTAACCAGGAGCTATTCACAACCTTTGAGCCATCAAATGGTGAGAAGGTGTGAATGGGAAACTCGGCTCATTCCGCGGTGGAAGGTGTGGGCAAGGTGGTCCTGAAGATGACTTTGGGCAAGGAGCTGACTCTAAACCAAGTTTTATTTGTTCCGGAAATACGCAAAACCTGATTTCCGGTTCGTTGTTGAACAAACATGGCTTTCACATGGTTTTTGAGTCGGACAAACTAGTTTTGTCTAAGTCGGGAATGTATGTGGGCAAGGGGTATGCATGTGACGGGCTGTTTAAGCTCAATGTAACGACAAATAATAATAATAATAATAATAATAATAATAATAATAATAATAATAATAATAATAATAATAATAAAACCCCTTCTGCTTACTTGCTTGAGTCTTTCAATGTGTGGCATGGTAGACTAGGACATGTTAATTTTAATTCTATACGTAGATTAATTAACATGGAACACATTCCTAAATTCACAATTGATGTGAAGCGCAAATGTGAAGTTTGTTTAGAGGCAAAACTAACGAAAACGTCTTTCAAATCGGTTGAAAGAAAAACGGAACCACTTGAATTAATTCATAGTGACGTTTGTGATTTTAAATCAATACAAACACGTGGCGGTAATAAATATTTTATTACTTTTATCGATGATAGCACTCGCTATAGCTATGTTTATTTATTAAAAAAATAAACACGAAACAATCGATAAATTCATTCTTTATAAGAATGAAGTGGAAAACCAACTTAATCAACAGATTAAAACGGTTAGAAGTGATCGAGGTGGTGAGTATGAAGCACCAATTGGTGACTTTTGCGCGAGCATGGGTATAGTACATGAACGTACTGCACCCTATTTACCTCAATCAAACGGTGTTGCCGAACTAAAGAATCGCACATTGAAAGATATGGTGAATGCAATGCTAGTAAGTTCGGGTCTGCCACAAAATATGTGGGGCGAAGCAGTCTTGTCAAGCAATTACCTTTTAAATAAGGTTCCCCGGAAAAAATATGATAAAACTTCATACGAGTTGTGGAAAGGTAGAAGGCCTTCCTATCAATATTTAAAAGTGTGGAGGTGTCTGGCAAAAGGGCTTGTACCAACACCTAAGAAATATAAAAATAGGTCCAAAAACGATGGATTGTATTTTTATTGGATATGCACAAAATAGTAGTGCTTATCGATTTTTAGTGTACGATTCGAATAATCCGGATGTACATAAAAATACAATAATTGAATCAAGGAATGCATCATTCTTTGAAGACGTATTTCTATGCAAGTCCAACGGCGGACCAAGCACGTCAAAATGAATATTTGATGTAGCTATGGAAAATACTAGCGAGGGGTCCGGAGAAGAAGCCGAACCCAGACGTAGCAAACGTGCTAGAGTTGAAAAATCCTTCGGACCGGATTTTCTCACCTACTTGGTAGAATTTGACTCGGATATTCTATCATGTATGGTGGAAAATGAACCGGATTTTCTAACATGTTTGGTAAAAATGAGCCACGGACTTATACGGAAGCCGTGACGTCTACCGAAGGTCCTGTGTGGAAAGAAGCCATCAAAAGCGAGGTGGATTCTATCCTACAAAATCACACATGGGAATTGGTTGATCTTCCTCCGGGAAATAAACCTTTGGGATCCAAGTGGATTTTTAAACGAAAAATGAAACCTGACGGTTCCATTGACAAGTACAAGGCCAGACTTGTAATCAAGTGATACAAGCAATGTGAGGGTCATGATTACTTTGACATGTATTCTCCTGTGACGAGAATAAATTCCATTAGGATGATACTAGCAATTGCCGCATTGTGGAAATTGGAAGTTCATCAAATGGACGTAAAATCCGCTTTTCTAAATGGTGATATAGACGAAGAAATCTATATGGAACAACCCGAGGGCTTTCGTGTTCCTGGCCAAGAAAGAAAAGTGTGTAAATTAATTAAATCATTGTATGGATTGAAACAAGCCCCTAAACAGTGGCACGAAAAGTTCGATCATGCAATGTTAATTAATGGGTTTTAAATAAACGAAAGTGACAAATGCGTCTATGTGAAAAGCACAGTAGATGGCTATGTCATTTTATGTTTATACGTGGATGATATACTCATCGTGGGTAGCAATAATCTAATGATTAATTCTACCAAAAGCATGTTAATTCTAAATTTGACATGAAGGATATGGGGCTGACCCATTTAATCCTTAGGATTAAAATAATTAGGGGGCCTGACGGTCTAACGCTAAGTCAATCCCATTACGTTGATAAAATCCTTACGAAATTTAATAAAGATGATTATCAGGAGGCAAGGACTCCATTAGATAAAAACGTACACCTTACCAAAAATCGTGGAGAGTGTATTTCTCAAGTAGAATATGCTAGGATTATTGGAAGCTTGATGTATCTAATGTGTTGTACCAGACTTTGTGGTTAGCAAGCTAAGTAGATATACTAATAACCACGGTGATGAACACTGGAAGGCAATAGTAAGAGTTTTGAGGTATTTACGAAAAACCCAAAACCTTGGACTGCACTATGGAAGATATCCAGCTGTACTTGAAGGGTATAGCGACGCTAGTTGGATATCCGAAATTAAGGACTCAAAGTCCACAAGTGGATATGTTTTCACTTTGGGAGGTGCAGTCGTGTCATGGAAATCCTCAAAACAAACGTTAATAGCTTGATCCACGATGGAGTCTGAGCTAATAGCCTTGAATAAGTGCACTGAAGAGGCTGAATGGCTGCACCATTTTCTTGAGGATATTCCAAGTTGGGAAAAGCCTGTCCCTCCGATATGCATACATTGCGATTGTCAAGCGGCAATCGGAAGGGTACAGAGCAATATGTACAACGGTAAGTCTAGACACGTTCGTCGTAGATATAACACCATTAAACAACTCCTCACAATAGGTGTTATCACAGTTGACTACGTGAAGTCAAAGGATAACATAGCGGATCCGCTAACCAAGGCATTGGATAGAGAATTGTTGGAGAAGTTGTCACGAGAAATGGGACTAAAGCCCATGAATTGAAAAGTTCTATAGTGGATACCCAACCTAGTTTGTCCTAGGTTCAAAAGGGACAACTAAATTATAGAGCAAAGGATGGTCACTGTGGGGGTCCCGGACTCCTACCCACTCCTTGTTGAAACAGTGACTCCCACACGAGGTTAGCAAAAACGTTTGCTTTAATGATTCTGAAATGTTGATCTACTCAATAACATTGGAAGAGTATGCGGGATACTTGTGAAAAAATCACCTATGTGAGAGAGAAGAGGGCCGCTTCAAAGGAGAACTGTATAGGCTCAGTTCTTTAGAAACTCTTGCAGAACCAGGACGGTGACCCATGGCCAAAACGGGCTCATCCATGAGAACGGAACAAAGTTGGAAGGTTTCTGTGTAAAGATAAGTCAATGTTTACACGACGGCAGTATAGTTCAAGGACATCCTGTCTACTAGACAACCAGTAAATAAACATGTCTTTCCAGCGGAAGGTTCAAAGGATAAAACCTACCTCTCCGTATGCAGGGATCATCCGGTGAACACAACGTGTCCTCCTATCTTCGTGTCTTTTTAAGTCTCGAAAATCAATTTTCATTCATGTGGGGGATTGTTGGAAAAATGTGTTAAAAATTGCATTAAATTGTCATTTTGGGGCAATTATTTGAGTGTGGTCCACTTCCGATTTGGGTCGGGTCAAAGTGGTTTCGGATTGTCCTTGCTAAGGGCTACAATTCGATATATGGTACACTCAAAACGGATAACGGGTGAATGAGAAATTGATTCTCGAAGTTCACTCGTTGAAATGCCCACATCAGGTGGCTGCTCTCCGAGCAGGCGGCTGCTCTCCGAGCAGGCGGCTCAGCAGGCGGCTGCTCTCCGAGCAGGATGCTCGCGCAGCAGGTGGCTGCTCGACCCTGCTGCTGCCGTTACAAGTCAATAAATGTCCAACGTTCATGCAATTAAATGGACAGTTACGGACCATTCAATGCCAACGTGCTGGATATTGATGTCCAACAATAATGTCCATTAAAAACGTAATTAACACACAACAAATCTTCCCTATAAAAGGCTGGCAGGTGGTTTTCATCAACAACACGAAAAAAACACAATTCATACACGAACTGCACACTTCTCTAGCTAAAGACCCTCCAGCTCTCCCTGAAAATTTCCTTGGTGTTCATACTTGTTCTCGTTCGCCGGAACAATTTGTTTGAGTACTCAAACTATTGTTCGTAGTCATCGTATCTTGGGAAATGATTGTTGCAACGCTCCTAGCACCCCGAGAGACAACAAATACGTTTTAAGGACATCGTGCGTTGCACGAGCTTTGGCTAAATTCCGCTTCATCTAATTTCTGTTTCTTTTAGTCATTTTAATTAATTAATTTTTATTAATTTTTTTTTTCGAAACACACTCAACATGACTTTACCTCCAAACAGTTTTGATAGACTATCTTGACATGAGAAACACATTATGTCACACATGCTTCTATCAAGAGCTTCAAAGCAATATTTATGAAGCATAGGGGCCTCATCCCAAATGATGAGCTTAGATTTCACAATAAGTTGTGCAATTGGACTGCCCTGTTAATGTTACACGTTGAATCTTCATTCAAGGAAAATGGGATTGCGAATCGAGAATGTGCAGTTTGACCGCCGGGCAACAATAAAGATGCAATACCACTTGAAGCCACATTCAAAACAATTTCTCCTTTAGAACGTATAGCAGCAGAGAGAGTCCTCCACACAAATGTCTTTCCGGTGCCCCCATAACCGTAAACAAAGAAAATGCCTCCAACTCGTTTGTCAATAGCTTCCATAACTTCATCATAAACTTTGCGATGTTCTTCTGTTAAATTTTGAAACAAAGACTCTTGCTCTTCAGCCAAAGCTTCACGGTCATACTGTAATTCTTCTTCTATGAGCCTGTTCACATTAAATTGCATCGAGTCCAAAGGAGGAACTGGCATGGGAGGAAAATCTTGAAGACTTTTTCCATGACTCTGTAATAAATATTCAATCTCAACCAAAGTAAAATTTTGCAATTATTCATCAGTCAACATCAAATCTGAAAAATGCATTACAAACAAAATTAGAATGTCTTTGTGGTTTATTCAAATACATGTGAATAAAATAAAAAAATGATATATGTATTCATAAATTGAAATGTGTTACCTGGATGTTGATATAGTAGGCGTTGCCTATACTGGATGTCTTCTGCCAATTATTTCCAAACTTTATCCCAAACCTTGTCCGGTCTGCTCAATGATTCAGACAACAATAAAATTGCAAATAATATCCTTAGAGAAACAGCAGATGCCCAATGACTTGCCTCATGGATCCCATCAATATATTCTTTATCATCGTCCAATAATCCCATGGCATAACATGTTTCGCGGTAAGTGTTGTATATCACACTTTGAACGCATCTGAGATCTTCAAATGATGTCGCTCCACGAATGTGATTGAGAAGGCAACGTAAATAATACGACTCACCACTTCCCGGTGGAACATAATAAATCCACCCAATAGCAAATGCCATCTTTCTGGGACACCACTCCCTAGTTGACTGCTTCCAAACAAACTTCTGTGGAAATGGACCATGCGTCATTAGATCTTTTGCATCTTCATAATAGTGGGGATCAGAATGAACATCTATCAGGGATTTCAGGTGAGATAATGTTATCTATGTCACTTATTGTTGGAAATTTGGACTGGTTTTCCAAGAATAAGAGAATATGAGCGTGCGGCAGACCTCTTTTTTGAAATTAAATTGTATAAACAACTATATTTAAAAATTCAAATATATTAGTGACGGTTAAAAAAGCACTAAAAGTAGTAAATGTATATAACATCTACCTGCTTGAACTCCTCCAAATATTTTATTTCGTCGAAAATCTTTTATGAGAGAATCAAGTTTTATTTTAAAAACACAACTAACTATGTCTGGTCGATCTTCTGGTTTTAAATTGTGTTGATTTAAAAATCGAGTTATTTCAGGCCACTTGGGGTTGCAAGTAAAAGTTATAAACAAATCTGGATATCCTGCCCATCTACAAATAGCCATGACGTCCTAATAATTTTGAATCATGAAACGTGCACCGCTTGTAAAAGATGGCAGCAGTAAAATCCTCTTCCCTTGAGCGTGTGCATCATTTTCTCCCCTAATTTCAGAACGTAATTGTTTCTGATGAGTCCTCACAAATTTCAATCTCGCAGATTCAACAATTGTATATCCATCAACAATAAACTGTTGCAAAAGACGTTTTGTATTCAAAATACATGACGTATTAGAATCTCTCTGTTGCAGACGAAATGCTAAAAACTCTCTTATGCTCACACATTTTCTACCAGCACCCATAACAGTACTTGAGTTACCTAATGGGATATCTTCTCTGTAACCATCTTCACCATATGGAAATAGTAAAGGATATTGTAGTCCAAAATATGTCGGGTGAAGCTCATTAATTCTTTGTAATCTTCACGTCTTTGTTTCTACCAAAATTTCTCTTTCTCCTAAAGATTCATCGAAATCTCCAACAACTAAATCACCAAAATGTCGACCAATCAACTTTAATCGCACGTTGCTTGTATCGTCTTGATTGATCCTCTCCCTAGCCATTCGGAAGCTTTTAACCAAAACATTACACTCATTAAGCATGTTCTTTAATCATTGAACAATATCAACATCCAATTGACTCCTATCATTGTCTCCCCTAAAACTAACAACGAAATATTTTTCAAATTATAACAAATCAATAAGATAACCTAAGTGCTCTCGTAATGTAAACCATAAACAAAATACCTCACAGACGAAATTCTATTATCTATCTCATTTTCCGTGTCATAAATGTACAACTGGGCAAACATTGGTTTCAAACCCTCCGTAGGCAGTAAGCTTCAAATGAGATGATAATTCTGACCATGGAGTTTAAAAATAGGAGGACATCTTCCCGTATTCAAATTATTATGTATTCTCCCTCCCATGGAAGTGAAAGCAAACATACTGTTATAAGACCTAATATTTTCGAGGAAATGTTTGCTCTTTTGATCTGTGCCGTGAATGAAATCATACAACTGAGCGGGTGATTGTTTCATGGACGCAATGTTGACTTTACCATGTGTGCCACAAAGAGAATACTTTGGACACTTCTTAGTACAATTAACAACCCGTTCGTCCATCCAAAATTGTGCACCACAATATGCACACATGCATATTTGATCACCAATATCCCAATACTCTGTGACATAAATACATGTAAAATCTATTATAATATAATCTTTTATTGATTTTTTCAAATCAAAATTATTCAACATTTTAAAAAATAATAGAACCTCTAGAAGCATCGTTCAATATACTTGCAAGTTCTTCATGTTCTTCACCAGAATCGGATTCATTCATCAATGATTGTTCATTGTCTCTTCCAAATCCTTCCTCACTAGCATGCGATCAAATAGATTTTCTTTGTTTATCATTATTTGTAAAAGCTCTTACATGAGTACTTGTAGAAGTACAATTGTCACTTTTAAAACATAAGGACTGTGTACCAATGTTCAAACATCGCAGATTACCTGCCGGTTGATGGCGTGAATTTCCTAATAATTTCACATAGTGAGTATATTTTTTTTAAAATAAAAATGTGTTAACTTACCATTTGTAATATTAGACAATGGAGTATTATATTGTGTTGCATTCAGATCAACAAAACTATTTCCAAAAGTAAAAGAATTTCCAATTCTAGACTCGTAGCGAAAAGTGTGACAAATTCTTTGCTGCTTGTCATTCTTACAATCCACGTTTTCTGCATTTTACATAATCTATGTAAAATCCTAAATACATAATTTGAATGTATGCTAGCTCATCATTAAAATGTTAAAAAAAGTCTATGTTTACATTCCTCGGTGAAACAAAAACACAGATTATTCCTTACAAGTAAACAAAAACAATATGAAACAAAAACTTTTTTATTCCAACTTTCCAAGTAAAGCAGAACTACTAATAGCATTACTTGTAAAATATTATCAATAATAAAATCCTACATGATCTTTATAATTTTTGAAAATTCTTTATAGAACATGTTGATTTTCTTCTTTATTCTTTATATTAAATTCATTCAAATTTTTATTCTAATTAATTTTCAATAATGATGAAAACCCAAAATATGAGTTATCCTATTTAAGAAAATCGTCTACCTATAAATCATATGCCTAATAGTAATTTACATCTTCTCAACTCTTTAAATTTGATTTTGGGTGCTTTTCACTGAAACATACAAAATTTCCCTTAGAGAGAACTAATTTTTGATGTTTTTGCAATTCTACCTTGATTGCAATAGGTTATATCCATCTATCAAAACCAAGAACATCTCATTTTCACAAAAGTTAATCTAAAATTATGTGTAAAAATTTAAATGCTTTTATATGTTTTACGAATCCCACAGATGACGAATAGTTCAAGGAAGATGAGCTTTTCCATGTCTGTAATATTGTAAAAATATCCTTATATTTTGTATATACCTATATTTGGGCACAATATATAAAACTAATTTCCCATTCAATTACCAAAGCCAAAAAAACTTCTTTAGTAACATCTTTAAAGAATTGCCAATGGCATACATAACACTAAATACCTGTATTGTATTAGGTATGTCATTTACCTCTAATCTCAAATTCCTAGTACTTAAAATGATAAATGTTCTGATCATTTCAGAACATAATAATAAAATTCTACCAGCAAGATAAAATCATATGAGATGAAAACTTGAAATAGAGAATTAACGTTAGGTCAATTCAATAATCGAATCCAGTTCAAAATAGATAAGTTTCAAACACAATAGTTTAATGTCACATAGGCAAACAACGCCTTTGAGCAAAAAAACACATTTCCATCCCTTAGTCTTTTCTTGTTTAGAAACAGCCTCAATCAAGCTTTTCTTGTTTTATGAATGTCTTCAATTTCTTTGACCCACTTGACGATTCGGCAAAAAGAGTACGCTTCACTGAGTAGTCCTCAACATCAATAACTTTTCTAGCAACCCTGTTCAATATAGGGCTATTGCTTTTATGTCCCGTCGAACCAATCTATCAATTAATTAATTTGAGTAGTATATATCAATTGAAAAAGAAAACAGTAAGTATACTCCAACAATAACAATAATAAAAGATAATCATTTGTTCAATGCCAAAAGACATACCTTTTCATTTTCATATAACTCCTTTCGGAGCACAGTAAATTCATCTTCCTTCTGTAATCATTAACAAATATTTGTTAACATTAACTACCACATAGTTCTTAATATTTGAAGTAAATGGAGAATGTCATGGAAACATGGAATATTTATATACCTCTGCAGTTTCTATATCATGAGAGTACAATGATATCACGGAAGGGTCTTTGATAGAGTCAATGACACTAAAAGTCTCCCTTCCCTTGTACATATTAGGATTCTTCTTAGTCTGCACTTCAAACAACACTTGCATGTCAACCAATGCCTCTACTTTGGGTGGAAAATTTCCACAGCCTCCATCGTTGTTCTATAATGAACAAAAGTGACACTTATTAGCAACTTTGACTAACTTCCATTTATGTTTTTATAGCATTTGCTCAATATGCTAAGGTCATACCCTCATATTTCTCTGTTGTACTGATGCTGTTTTACCAATCAATTGTGTGCATTGTTTATCCCACTAAACAAAAGTATTATTACTTGAGTGGTCCATAAATCTGAGATCAATCTTATACCTAAATATGAATTTCAGTTGTTATACTACGATTTAACTCATTATTAAAATATGCACTTAACATTTTGTGAACAAAAACTGTACCTAAGAACAACTTCAGTAGAATCACAAAACCTACAATAGAAACCATCACCCCTTGGTGTAACCTTGCGACTATAACTTTTGCACGAAGCTTGACCCAATAAGTTGTTTTGGAATATGTAGTTGTCATTTGTTTGAGTTTAGGGGAATGATATGTAAACACTTGATTGTGGTCCTAATTCGGCTTGATATACAACTCTTGCCCGAGGCATACCTAATGAAAAGATGGAGGAAAGACATGAAAAGAGCGTACCAACGAGTGAAAATCAATTAGGACGGGTGGATTACAACGGTTGAACAACACCGCTTTGAGAAGTTATGTAAGACCTTTGAGTCGCTTGCCAACATTATTGTGGATGATGTGGTGAAATACAACAGCGTCCTCCTTTGGTTGGACACCCAATTTTCCACATATACTCCTCCAGTTAGCCATTCTTCTATTGGTGGTAACATGACACCACTCGAAGACCCTACCACAAGTATTGGCAGCAGATAAGTCCGTATTTCGACACGCATTTGATGCGTGTAGAGATCAACTTTTGATGGT